ACATTTAGACCCAAAAATTATTACAATCAATCATTTGTCAATCATGGCCATTATTACACTTAGGACATTGAACTTAGGACCTACATATATTTATTTATACATTCTTTCATAATGTATGCATGTTCTGCTGCCTTCCTTTTCCCTTCTTTCACGAGCCATCGAGTTCTGAATATACCTAAAGCTTCATTTTGATTTACTAATTCTGGCAACACCAAATCATAAAGTTTGAATTCTGGCAACAGCATTAGGCTCGATCGCCATTGGAGATGACGGATGGAGCCATATTAGGCGTTAAAAGCCGTGGTTTTTAGTAATAAAATGCTAAAATCCGATGTTATTAAGCAGAATCTGAACGAAGAATCATCGTAAGATATTGTTAGGAGCACACAGTTGGTAAAAAGACAAGTTTTGAAGATAGAAGTGTTACAGTACTAAAGTGCATTAGCGCCCAAGTCTATACTGGAGCGCAGGGGTTTAATTTGAAAAGTGTCTAGGCCTAGCCCGTTGCTAGCAAAGTTTAGGCCTACCTGACCACATCTGCGGTAGGCAACAGGTAAGGCCTAACTATGGAATCAAATTTGGTGCTGTTTACACCAGCGATTCCGGATTGCACTCGGGTTGTCCAACACTGAATGCGTCCCGCACATCGATCCCGGGATGTTTGGCAACCCGGGTTGTATTTTTTGACGTTTACACCAACCACAACTCTGAAGTTTCTAGCCCGGGTATTGCAAAATCCCGGGTTGTGTCCGGAGTTCTGCTTGAAGTGTAAAAGGGGTATAACGTACAACCACAGATAGCAGTAGATAGAGCAGCTTTCCAATATAGTGGGACATCCGTTCGAAATTCATGGAGGGTACACGGAGATCAATTTTACCCCTCCGCACGACGGCGCTATATATCAATTATAAAGGCACCGCTCGGGTTCGTTTATTTCCTGTAGTTTCTCCACTTAGTCAAATGGTCAAATTTTATTTCGTTCGCGGGAGGGCGGATGTTCCAAATCCGCGAACAGCTCATTCTTCTGCTGTTTAAGTTCTTTGGTATAGCCTGAAAGTTATTATTGAGGAAATCACTCGGCAACAGATCCCTTTAACGCGACAAACCAATGTGTTCCCCGCGGGCGTATTACCTTATAATTCACATTTTTTTTTGTTAGCAACAACTTGGCAGCGACATGCATTTACAGTATACGCTTCAGCAGAGCAATTGTGACATAAAGCGTTTCATTTTAACCCATTAAATATCTTTATAATGAACAATGTTCCCCTGATTGAATTTTTTCGGACTTTTAGTATGTTATTATTTGTATATTTGAGAAACAGATTATTATTGTTAAAATAAATTCTGTGTTCATTATAATTTTGTCTTAAGATTGATTGGTTCGACTATAAAGCTCGTTAACCCTAAATGACTTAGTTTATTGTAATTCCCAATCATTCCTTAATTAACATCTGTTAAAATCAGAATTATCGAGTTTTATCCAATTTATTGAATTCAAGTTGAAATATACTATACTTTTAAAAAGCTGGTGTAAATGTTTCATTAAATTCGAAACTCTTCTTGTGGAAAATAGTATTATGTTTGGTATTTCTTGAGAGATATATGTATTAGCTTCAATTTGGAAACGATTGCGCAGCCACAGTCATTGACTGTAAGTTGTGCGCATTGAGAAAAAGAAGCTGCTCTCCATTTCGCCATGTTCAATTTTTGGTAAACTAAGCCTGCTGAGCATTTGGTGGCGGGGAACACATCAGACTTCAAAGGCATCGCGCAAATCTTCTCCACGCGCTGCAGCAGCTTTGTTCTTGCCTCACTTGCATAGTGCTGCGTGCGCGTAGCTTTTTCGAGTGATCTCCTTCTCAATGCCTATGTTAGTCAGGGCAATCTACGATTTTAAGTGGACAAAATTGCAACAAAAGGTTTTTTTAGCTGATATGGTAGTTAAATATCTATAAAACAACATAATAATAATCGGCCAAAATCTGACATCGGGAAATGAGTTTTTTAAGACAGAAAACAGCGAACTATATTTTGTCTTTCCTTACACAGCGTGTTAAACGGTTTGGCTAATTAGCATATAAAAATAAATTTCTCTGATTGATAGAAAGTCCGGTCATCCATGATCAAGGACAAATTACGTCATCTTAAGTTTACGTTTTTGCGTTGACTTCCTGGTACGTGTATCAGCGTCGGCGCGGCACACGGGCAGTGTGCCTAGGCCTACATTTTATATACTTTATAGTTTATTGTTATTGTTTATGCTTTTGATTTTTTCCTGAATATATTAAGAAAGATGGCCGGATCATCTGACAGCATAAAAATATGTTTCTGATGAGAAAGAATTCTCTACATTCGTGACAGGCCTAGAGAGGCCCCTAACAACTAGGGCCTAGGCTAGCTAGGCCTACTACTACCTATCATATAGCTGACCAAGGCCATACCTCTCACTCACTAGCTAGTCTGGCAAAAGCTGAGCTCGACGACCGTTACGTTTATGAATTAGTGTAGACCACAGCGCAATACAAACTGTAATTCATAAAACACGTAACTGTTGTCATTTTCTACATTCATTCCTTGGGAAGCAGTGCTAGTCACTGAAATCTTTCTATCCTGAATAAAGAAATCTTAAATAAATGATTACATACAGAAGATAATTTTTTTTTCTTTTAATATACAGTAGTTTTGAAAATTATTACTGGCAAAATCCAACAGCATTATTTATTAGCAATCCATCTCAGAATCTGAAACAAACAATAACTAAGGTACCATCATCGTACAATAACATTTTCAAATTTTTTAATATTATTTATAGTAGTCTTGGTTATGCAATACAAAATACTGCAGTATCACTAAAATGCACTTTCTGTAAGCTGAATGTTATGGCTTCCTATGGATTATCAATGTCCTGCTATTTTTTGTTTAAAGTAGCAAATGTCTGTGTAACATGCATCCATGCATCCCATCTCCAAGATATGTCCTAGAAGAAAAAAAAGGGGAAAATTACCACATTAGTTATAATCCTTTAGAGTCAGACATTTTAAAAAACAACATCTTTACATTTTCTACCAGACATTTCTTAAATATAGTAGGTCTATGCCTAATTACAAAAAAAAATATTAAAAATGAATGCATAAATCACCAGGGGATTAAAAAAAAATGTAAGGGATAGTTCAACTTTATCAACATCTCCACAAGTGCACAGACAGTACTGTATGCTAGGGGTAGACAAATTTGTACACTTTTATATATGCATGAAAATGTTGATTCAAAATAGCATGATATAAAATAATAGATTTTTTATGACCATAATGCACCCATGGATAATATACATTTTTAGCAGCCAAGTAGTGTTTTAGTTAACTTCACAAAAAATGGAGAATGGTTTTGCAAAATCAACATTTGCTTTGTACACTTTAAGAGGGGAGGGAGGGGTACCGAAAAAGATTAGGCCTACAGTTAGTAGTGAAACTGTTTTTCTATATTACATTACTATTACAAAATAATTTAAAAATATTAAATTTTCTATTTAATTATTACATAAACAAATAGAACTACTGTAAATGTAAATAACCCATGTAAAATATTTATTTAAATTTACAATACAGTACCTGATATTATTTGAAATATGGGATATGAAAGTATAATTTTAAATATGTCTTATATTGAGGAAAAAGCAAAAAAAAATTATTGTAAAGTTGACATGAGTACATATTATGTCTTGTTAACATATACATATGTATCAATTATCATCTCTAATGATTCATGTGCATGATACATTTTTATGATCTATTTCTGTCTTGGAGTTAAAAATCGAAAAAGAAAAGTAAAACATGTATAGTTTAATTGGTTAATGGTTTATTCTATTATTAAGTTTACTTACTATTATTTAATTTATGATAGATGTATTGCTTTTGGATATTATTTTGTTTAGTACTTAGCAAAAAACTAAAACTGGCAAAACATTAACTAATATACAAAATACAAATCAATTAACTAATTGATCTTATTTAATATAATTATATACCTCAAGTTGTTCTTGACCATGCAAAAATATCATAGCATTAG